TACCTCACGGATTTCCGTCTCCGTCGGTAAGGGTGACGACTAACGGCTTATAACGGAGATTATACTCAAAAAACCTTACACGAAACGTCGGTGCGTGACCGGCCTCAAGCACTTGTCCCTTGGACTCTGCGGTCACGCTCCCAGTTTGTTAACACCAACGCTAATCTACTTTCTTTTTCAGGTTCCTCAAGAAACACTCTTCCACGATGTGGGCAGCCAGGAAGTAACATGCCCCCTCATACCCATAAAAGCACCTCATCGGTTACAATCAAATCCTTACTACACCTCTTAATAACTGTCCTATCTCCTGGACCAACCCTTCTTTCGATCGTTTATCACCTCACGTCACGGAAGCAAACGGTACGAGCTCTCGAAACATTATTACTGGTCTCCTGAAACCCCGTACTGAATTACATATTGAAGCTTTCAAAGCTCGGATCCTATGTTAAATAAAGCAGAAGGCTTCATTAGCTAGAACTCTGGAATCCAGGGCGATCAATGTATGTTACGTCTGCGAAACGCGCATATAAGACCCAAGAAAATTATCAATTTGATCTCAGCTAGTGCAGACAGAGACACAACAAGACTTATGCTTCATGTTTCTGCAAGCCCTGATGCCGCTTCTCGTGGCCTCGCTGGCGTAGGTATAGTGTCAAGTCCTAGGACAGAACGAGCTCTATTGGACTGGATCCCGACAGATAGTCGCTCATGCGCTGTCTGAACGGGACGATACGGACTTAGAAGGATGGGGACACTCGCCGTTGCCTCTTCGTCGTTATCTGCCTACGCTCCCAGTTCAGACGAAATGAAAGGCAAGTTTTATAGAAACCTCTCTGAACCTCCCCAAAATGTTAAGCTCTCTGATATAGTAATAATGGCTGGTGACTTTAACGCTCAAGTAGGTAGACACAGCGAAAAGGAAAGGCACGTGGGTGGATCTTATGGTGTCGCGGCTAATAGAACAGATAGCGGCGACTGTCTGTTGCAGCTATGCTCATATAACCGCCTATTCCTAGCAAACACTAACTTTAAGCATAAGCTGAAACACCTTTTGACCTGGCGAACCCCAAAGCCGACCCAACGATGGACCCAACTAGATCATATCGCTATCAGCCATCCGTGGAATGGCCCTGTCGAAGACTGCTTCTCATTGTGGAGCACTTGTTTAGACTCAGACCATGCTCTAGTTCGAGTGCGTATTTGTTAGCGTCCCATAGGACGTAGGAATTGTATCCCAAGGAAACCTCCTACGGCTCTACTCATTGATGATAAAGCTAAGAATATATATTTTAAAGGATGGTCGTCCAGTTTTAGCAGCTAGATTGACTGAGATCTTAGGTAGAATCTGGGAACTGGACGTAATCCCATTTGACTGGTCCCAATCCTTGATTGTCTCGACTTACATGAAAGGACCGAAGTCTTGTTGTGACAATCACAGGGGAATTAGTCTGACTAATACAGTGTCTAAATCGTTAGCCTCAGTCATTCTTAGACGCCTATTTAGAGCTCGTGAAGAGCAGACTCGAGAAAACCAGGCTGGTTTCAGATCCGGACGTGGCTGTATAGACCACATTTTCACACTACGATAAGTCCAAAAACACAGACACATATTTAGGCGTCCGACAATAGTTGTCTTCCTGGACCTTAAGGCGGCACTCGACTCAGTGGATCGTTAGGTTCTGTGGTACTGTCTGTCATTGAAAAGTGTACCAAAGAAGTACATTAACCTCATACAAGCTCTCTACCCGAACACCACTGGTCGAGTGAGAGCTTATGGAGAATTGTCACAGGAATTCTCTACATCAAGTGGTGTCCGTCAGGGATATCCACTCTCTCCATTCTTGTTTAATTTTATCATAGACATTATCCTAGATATAACCTTATCCTTGTCTGAATTTTCAGGAGTAGACCTTTTACCAGGAGGCTCGCTTATTGACCTAGAGTGGGCCGATGACATAATCCTACTTGGTGAAGACGCTAACAAAATGTGGTCTTCTGACTATCCTGAACAACAATGCAAGCATGTTCGGGACATTTGTAGGTTACTAGTCTTCGATCATAGGTGTATCCGAAGCATTTGCCGTATATCATGGGTAAACCGGGTAAGCAGTGCTATCGTGAGGAAACGAGTTCTAGGTAAGGGTGGAAAATCAATAGATGAAGTATTAAAACTTCATCAATGGAGATGGTTGGGACATGTGTTACATATGGTTAACCACCGACAGCCTCGATGAGCAATGTTTTGTGGTGTAGGAGTAGGTATGAAGAAAGCCATAGGCGGCCAGACCAAAACATGGAAGAAATGCATGAATGACATGGCTCAAAACAGTTTGCAGTGGCGCAGCTGCATTTGCTCTTTGTGGTCTATGAAATTCTAACCTTCTGAATTAATCATCATTTGAATTTTCTCCTTATTATTCTCCACATTGCAACTAATTGATCTCCGGTCTGACAATGTGATAGCTGCTGGTATCCAGAAACCCTACTTAACTGAAACAAAAGTTTTCTCTCAAATCAAGAGACATATAGACTCACAATCAAAGGTCAACTGACTAGAATTAGACAGTCGAATGTCCAGACCCCTTGGACCGTACCGAAAGAACAATAATCGAGCGCAAAGAAATCAGTTGGTTTATACTAGCCGGTGAAAAAGATATTGGATACTGAACAATTGTTGAAGGAATAACTAATCGGTAATATCATTTAGAACTCTTGTTTAGGATTTCAACTGAGCAAGACGTGTATCTAAACTTCTTTGAGAGTTGTTCCTCAATCGAAACTTCAGTTTGGATCCTACATGTTAACAGTTGGTCAATGTGAGCAAAAATGTTCGTGTCTTCACACCAATAGGCACTGGTGAATATGGAGCAGCCATATTTAACATGACTATTAACGAAATACTCAGGAGGGACAAAAACGAGCCTTTGCTACTTCAAGGCAAACTATACGTGCGTGAGAAAGCGCCTACACGTTTTACACAGTGTACGTTAAGCACACTACGTACCTGGAAAGAAAAGAACTTGGGTTAAGCAAGGCACTGAACGCTTTCTACAGGAGAAAAGGAGAGCCCGGCACAAGTGGAGGGTTTCTCCGAAAGATTTCGACTGTAGTTCTTACTTGGCAGTGAGAAACAGATATAATGTCAAGGTTCGAAGTGATAGGAGACAGTTCCAGACGAAGCTAGCTGCCAAAATACTGGCAGTCACAAAAAATCTGCCTAGGTTCATGGCTAGGAGAAGACTTGGGGAGCGAAGTGTTTTTACACTCAAAGATTCTAATGATAAAGATCTTACCAACCTAGAGATGGTCAAGACCGTGAATACTGACTTCACCGATTAGCTAAACCAGGTACCTATAAGTTCAGAGTGTTACACATATCTATTACTATCTGACGGCCTAGGGAACAATCTACTTACTCCTGATTTAGAACTAAGAAAACTAAAATATCTGAGCTCATGAAAGTTACAGGATGTAACAAAATTCACCCTATTGTCCTGAAACAGTGTACAGGAAGCCCTCGGTCCAGAGGTTAGTGACCTGTTCAGTCATGCATTCACAGGAGTCACGCCAAATCTCAGCCGGATGGAATCAATCAAATATTTAAATAAGGAAATATCCCTTGACTTTTCAGAAGATTTCGACACAGTAACTCACGTACTCCCAATTGCGAAGGTTGAGAAGATGGGCTTTTCTGGTTCAGAGATTGCCTTGAGAACAGAAAGTTGCGAGCAGGACGGTTTTAGCATCAGGAGTTTCACAGCACACATCTCAAGTCTATGTTTCTTCCTAATATTCGTTAATCACCCGTTAGATAAAAATAGCTCAATGACACTGATCTTCGTAGATGATGAAGAGATCTGGAGGTCCATAAGAAGCGAGAGGATTCAAGGGAACTTCAAAAGAACCTTACATCAATTGAGAGTTAGGTAAAGAGAAACGGTTTAAAACTAAACCAGAGGAAGTAGGGTTGTATGAAAATTCTGCCTCACGCGACACAAACAACTTATATACTAAATAGAAGACAGTCCTTTAGTGTCGCCTCAGAGCGCGATCTCGGTTTAATAACCACGGAAAGCCTAGACACCAGAGGACGCAACCTAGGCTAACGCAACTCTTCACTTTATGTGAAGGCAACTTGGCGCAATCATGCTACGATCGTTTTTATCTCTGTTAAACACATACACAGGCTAAAACCTTGAATTTCACGACGTCGTCGCATCTTCTCTCCTTAAAAGATAGCCAGATCGCTCGGATCGAATGCACAGTCGAGCAACGAAATGGGTGATAGGGTTGAAGAATAAACAGTACGACGATAGACTCCGACATTTGGGATTATTCCCTATCAGTTGCAGGCGATTCATAAGCAATTCGATCATGGCGCACAACATACTAATCACGCCAGATCATCCCAGCGTGAGCACCTAACAGAATCATCACCACCAAGCCCTTAATGTAATCCTCCAAAAATTGCATATCAGATAGCGAACATTCAGGTTCATGGACACTTTTCTCATTAGGAGTTGTCGAAACTTAAACCGCTGTCCCAGCCGTGGTGACCACAGAGTCTTCAGCAGATAGCTTCTAGAACTAACTTGATAAATACTTGCTTACATGAGGATTATCATTTCCCTAATGGACAAGCTGTGGCTGATGCATGTTTTTAGGCCTGTTAGTAGCTATTATCGCCATCTCCTCAGATGAACAGCTTAATCTATCTTACTAACTCTGTCTGTTTCCTCTCCCTTGCTAAGATTTCGGTCCTATAGCACAATCTTCACTGCCGACTAACTAACTTAATTATCCATTAATTTACTTAGTCCTGCAACCTTATTAGCATTGGGATTTTCTCGTTATTATCCTCCTAATTTAAACTAACTGATGTCCGGTCTGGTAACGCGACAGCTGCTGGTCTCCAGAAACTCTACTTCATTGGGAGAAATGGGCTCATTCAAATCACGGGACATCTACGTTCATATACAACTACCAACTGACTAGGATTAGTGGTCAGGTGGTTAGACTACCATCTACTGGACTCTATCAAATACCTGGAACCTTACCGAACGAACAAGAATTGAGCTCAAAAAAATCAGTCGGTGTATACTAGCTCCGGATAAAGGTATTGGCTATTGTACACAGTACTCACCAGCAATTCGCTATTTAGATCAGCCAATAGGGAGACGGCTAGCCCCACCCACAGACGATGTCACATGTTATAAATACTAAGTTATGGTCGTTTTGCTATCTGACGTAACGAGATTTTATCGAGATGTCTAAAGTTAAGGTGAGTTGCATTCTTTACATACTTTGTTATTCGATATATGGTCTACTGGTCATTCAAGAGTTGGTGGCTTTTTGGTAGCCTTTTAAAATTATATCCAATGTAAGACGTCTTATTTGTAATTAAGCGATAAACAGACGTTGACGAGGAATAAACAGCATTAAGAAAATAAATTTGGGTCGATTGTGCTGTTTTTTACATCAAACTTCTGCATCGCCTTAGTGCTATTCGTGTGAAAAATGTTAAGACCGTATTTTCCAAGTCCAGAACGCGAGATGCTTTCCAAAACTGCACATTATACAGTTTAGTTATCTTGAAGTACAATTAAGTTAATTATATGCTTATTAGATGCTCAATCCACCTAAAATATCTTGAACTCAAATGCAATGTAAATGTCGTCCTCACCACGCATTATTCACCAACTACGAGACTGGTTGGAAAATCAGAGGTTGTCAGTGTTTAATATGGTGTCGCAATATAAAAGAAAGTTGTAAAGGACTGGCATCTTTTGATCCTTGAATGGGGTCCTAGAGATAATGCAACTCAGTGGCTGCAGACGTTATCAGACATGGCTCGGAATAAAAGCCAGTGGCAGTCCTGTTGTAAATTTATTTAATCTTCTTCACGTTAGTAAGGATTCCTTCTGTTTGTACTTTCCGTAAATGAACTATTTCTTCCATTAACATCACTATTCTTTCCATTTATATTTTGTCATACTCCCCGTTCTTAATCCACCTGTACGTCATTTTTATTACATGACGCATACAGTTCTTGGTGCCTACTTGTGCCAATATTTGTTGTAAATTATAAACAACCGGAAAATAAGTAGTTAAGTTATTCGTTATGTGGCTTGCAAAAAAAACGAAGACAAACTGCGTAACTTCGTATGTTTCCAAAATGATTGGCTATACTTATTTCGTTTGTCACAAGTTTATTTTATTTGGTATGTTTTATGGTCCCTTCAATTTTGATCGGTGGTAACTATGCAATTATAATTAAGTGTATAATTTTTGATGATATCCGATGAAAAATCGGCAGTGTAAAGGTGCTTCTTTAAAAGCCATGAAAACCGGTGATCAAACATTTGGTACTATCAGTAAGCCATCCAACTTCATTGTTAGTGTAAATTTAAAGACTTAATCCCTAGCTCCCACTAGTAAAGAATAAAGATTACACACTGGGATATTTACTTTATTTAAAGATTGATATATTCAGTTATTAGCTGGTTCACATCTCCTTTGTTCGTATCTCTCTCGCTTTTATTGAATACATGGTTTTATCATTTGTCTATTCCGCTTGTTCTAATGGTATTAGCTTACTTAACTAGAATATTTAACACAGAAAACAAGTTACAAAAATCTCTAATCATAGTTTAAGGCGAGTTTGAGAAAGCAAGACCAGTATTGCTTCTATATGATGTCAGGCTTTAGAGATCTCTAAGCCTACACTTTAATGTATGATACATTATAAAGGCTTTTGGATTTTAGCGGTATCTTTTAAGTTAGGCAATTCGACTTTCCTCTGTTGATTCACAGGTGTAAGGCTATTTTTCATTCCGATTTGGAAAACCGAATATTATTGGTACCCAAACACAAAGTTGAACCAAAACCATGTATACGAGTCTTCTCTTAGGTACTAAAATGAATCCAGCGTGGTTAAACAGTATGGGGAACGTGCACTGAAAAGTAATTAATCCATCAATCAAACAGTGTCTTCACTGAATGTCCATTACTTAGAAACTTAGTGTGTGTAGGAAAATAATAAATTGGAACGATCTATCAAAATTTTGACATCATATTTTAGATATATTCATATCACCAGTAATATGTATGAACATATCATTAAGAATATCGAAATGAGGATAAACGCCATGTAAAACTTTTCCATTCTGAAGTGGTTTTCTCTTATATTTGTCAGTCACCAATACTTGCACAGTCGTACTAGATGTTTCTAGTGTTCATTTGCTAATTTTCAACCCTCAAGGTAAGCATTAAACATTCACGGGACACTGTGTACACATTTTTAGGGTTTATATTTTTACTTCCTCCTTTCAGTAGGAATACAATATCGCTAGTGTCATTGCTTGCCTTCGGATAACGCTATGCTGTTACTCAGCGCTGACAACAAAATAACTGTCTGGTCCCTTCTGCCAAATTTTAGTGCTGTTACTCTAAAAAGTTCTAGTATTTAATTAGGTATAAAGTTTGATGACCTAAGGTGGGAGTAGTTTCTCAAGATTAGAGTTTTTAAGTAAACATCTTGGTAAAGCATACTAAACAACCGGTAAATAGTTTCATATGCTCAGAGAATCAGAGAAACTGATCAGTTACTTGACTAATAATCACTAAGTTCTGTAAGATTGTTATTCGTGACTTGTCAGAATTGTTTTGGATTTGAGATATGATAACTAAGACATAAAAGAGCTCATTCAGAGGAGTTACTGAAATTAAAACTAGAATATTTTGTGTTTGATTATTTATTATTCTATGAAAATTCATGTCTTTGTTTTATGAAACAATACGGTCTGCAGTTGCTTAGTTTATTTTTAACTGTATTGAACTAATCTTTAGGCACTTTGAGCCTGCGTAAATTGTAATCATTCTTACTTTTGTTTACTTATTAGGTTGGAATTATCGGAGGTTCTGGACTGGACGACCCAAATTTATTCCAGAAAGTAGGAGTGCGAAATGTAACTACTAACTTTGGAGCCCCATCAGATGTTCTTACCGAAGGTTTTATTGAAAATGTTCCATGTGTAATGCTTCCCAGGTAACCAGTGTTATGGAAAATGAACTTTTTATTACTCACTTATTCATATGACTGACATAAGTAAATCGTATCGAATTTGTTTAATAAAAAAATTCCCAGCTCCGTCCAAAAGGTACTCTAGTAGTGACATACGTGCATGTATTTCATTAGAATTAGAGTAAAGTGCGTAGCCACACAAACACCAAAATCAATTACTATTACGATCAATTAGTTCGTTAAATTTTGCTTTTTAGTCTAACGGCAGATTCTGCTACTTTTTAACCCGTACATTTAGTTACGTAAATTTCTTGTTCCTTATTCTACGTGTTGAGGTTGTAAATGAAAGTATTAACCGAATGCCGGAATAATCTACTGATGAAACTGGTGCTGAAATATCGTGTCAATATTTGTGCACAGTATTTAATTATTCGTTACACTGAAGATATAATGAAGGCTAAATAAAAATCGCATCAGAAGTGAAATAACATTTTGGGAAAGCAAAAGGTTGTTGGAATAATTTAGTAAGGGAAAGAAAAATATCAATGTTTACAGTTTAATTAACACAGCAATCGAAATAGATCTTACGGTTTATGGAAAATGTTAGACCAACAACACTTGCTTTTTTCAGTCAGTTCTACTGGCAGCTAAACAGCACTTCGTATGGAAGTTGACAATTTACCTAGTCCAAAGACGTATTAGAGTTTTAGAGAGTGGTAATTACAAATACCATCACGTGTTGACTGATTATCTTGACTTCGTTCACAAACAAGTTACTGAACCTCCAATTAACGTGTATGGTACTTCTGTCTAGTGCAAACGAGACTTTGAGAATAACATTGGTTAATACAAAATTTATTCGAACATCAGCTTAAAACTGTTAGGTTTGACAAAAATGGAATAAAACCACTCGCGTTACAACGTTTTATACGCAGTATTTTACATGGTTAGTCTTAATGTAATCAAAATTAGTTCAAATAGTTTTAAACCATTTTATCTAATGCCACACAAAGTGATTTCGTCTTTCATATCATTTGAGGTCTCATATATGTACTCACATACTTGGCCGTCTTGATTATTTACAACGGTCCACGTATAAGAACTAACCAATTTTATGGAAGTATTTCGCATATTGATGTTGAGTGATTGAGAATTACATGCAACCATATATTAGGGACCGGTTTTATAAGTGGTAAAATAATAAAATGAAAAATCTATAAAACTGTTAGAACCAGATGCATTCACTGTTTTACTTGTTTGTTAATTGTCATTGATGCATATTTTACGGTAAACCTTTTACCTCTGCTGACTAAAAAGGTTTAAATTTTTTAAGGAATATTGGTATCCAGAAGACATGAACAATGAAGATTTCTATTATTTTGATGAACTCACAAAAAAGCTGTTAATTTTTGTATAAACGCTTGTAAAAATTTCATCCTGACTGACTAGTTATATAATAAGCTACTCATAATGTTACATTTTTCAGTTTCAGGGTGATAACTAAATGGTCTGTTTAGGATAGATTTAAATTACTTTACCGAAAGACAGAAAATACCCCTTTACTTTCTTCTAAAGTTGGTTTTGTAGGTTATTGTGACCATTTTTAAGTAGTCACAATTGTATATTTTCTTTCGATTGGATATATTTACGAAAACATTTTCGCTGAAATTTACGTGTCTTTCATATAACTTTAAGTTTTAAGAATTTAGATGCTTTTATGTCTAAGAAAGTCTAAAAGTTATACGGTTTGGTAGAATCCGTGTTATGAATGACTTGTTCATATCTTTTTCTGTAGACATGGTAAAAAGCACGGTATCTTACCACACGAAGTCAACTATCGGGCCAACATATCGGCTTTACATGAACTCGGATGTACTCACGTATTAGCTACCAACGCTTGTGGTAGTCTACAGGAGAACCTGATGCCTGGAGATTTCGTTGTTCTTGACCAGTTTATAGATTGGTCTTGGGGTCGCGAAAGTACATTTTATGGAAGCAAAGCTGGTTCAATGAAAGGTGTCCTACATATGCCAATGGCAACACCATTTTGTGATAAAACGCGTCAGGTAAGATATAGTTTTTTGTCACTCAAATAAATAATTCGAAAATACGTTTAGCCTTGTTTGCTTACGATTAAGCTTGATTCACTGTAAGATATTGGATGCCTGTTTATTATTACCTTCCTTGATACTTTTACACTAAATTTTACAACTAGTCAATCTAGTTCGGTTTGATCCAACATGTAATTGTCATTGATATTGTAATATTATGTAATTTCCAGTCATTAACTTATGATACATACCTCAAATTTGGAACCGTTTCTTAAACGTCTTTTAACCGTATTCTTTGTTAAAAACTATTCATTCCAAATAGTTTACAATCATGTTAAACACAAAGTACTTTTCTATTCAAAGGAAGTGTTAAGTTTTCTCGAGTAGTTATGCCATTGAGTACTATTTTATGGAGAGTGATATCCGTTTCTCTCAGTTTACGTTATTGATAATGCGTGCTTGGCAATTTAAATTGCTAACTTACGACTGTTGCCCTTAATAGGGCATAATTCGCTGACCAGCATTCTTCAGCCAACTCAGTTGCTTCATAATTATAAGGAATGTAGACTAATTTACCGTAGGTAGTCATAAATTTTTTAATGTTGAATAACATGTCTTTTGAACACACGTAGTGTTTTATCTGGCATTTATGTGAATGCATTTGAACATTACATTTTGTGTTACTGAAATCAACTAATATGGATGTTCGATTTTGAATTCAGTAACCACAATGCTCTTACTTTGCTCCGAATACTCACATTTAATGTAATGAATGTTTTTTAACAAAAGTTCGGTAGTGCTTCCGCCTAGTTTGACTTGCTTCTGTACAGTTTTACAAACGATATATTTTGTAGGACGCTGTTGATTCAGCAAGATGAGAATTACAGTGCTTCCGTATTAAAATGTCAGCATAATTCGCTGACCAGCATTCTTCAGCCAACTCTATCCGGTGCCTTCCGTTACAGTTACAATCACTTGCTACTCATCTTCCTCATGTCTGTCTTCCATTCTCAGCTCAGTGTGTTCTTTGGTCTTGACGATTCCAAGTTACCGCTTGCCTTGTGACACAGTTGAGTGAATTCCGTAATGTGTGTCCAATCCACCTCCAGCTTTGTTCCCTAATTTCTTCCTCAGCTGGAATTGGAATCCGGCTTGTCCTCTGTCACAATAGGTTGTTGCTGGTGGTGTCTGGCCAACGTATCCTGAGCGTCTTGTGTAGACAACCGTCTGTCAATACCTGTATCTGTCAGATGATGGCCTTCGTAGCTATGCATATTTGTGTTCGATATTTGTGTTGGAAGTTGTGAGTTTGATTCTGGTTGACAGTAGTTTTGAGTTTCAGATGTTGGTTAACTGAAGAAATGCTGCCCTTACTTTGCCAATCCGTGTCTCCATATATGCATCAGATCTCCCTTGTTGATCAATGATGCTGTCCACGTTTGTAAAGGTTTCCACATATATCGTAGTTTCTCTAAGAAGTGCGATTTGGTTGGTGTATGTTGTGTTGCATCAGAGAATCTTACTGATTTCCTTGTGTATGTAAGGACGTACTAGTTGAGAGGCTGCTGTCAAACTAGGCACCTTGACCTGCACAATTGTTGGTGTGTGTGTGTGATAGAAGAGCTATGTGATCTGCGAAGTCCAAATCGTGTAGCTGGATCTGAGCTATTCACTGTATTCCGTGGTTGCCCTGAGATGTTGATGTCGTCAAAATGCAGTCAAATACGTTCTCGTAGTCAATGGAGTTGATGTGAAATGATGAATTCCGATTCGATTGATTATTCATCAATGATCCGTAGTGTTGAGATTTGGTGGGTACATGATCGATCCCTACGAAATCCAGTCTTCTGATCTGGATGACGTACATCTACTGAATCTTTCATTCGGTTTGACAACACTGTTGAAGACTTTGCCAGTATTGAGAGAAGAGTTGTGCTGCTGTAGATATCACACTTGTTGATATCTGCTTTCTTCGGTATATTGATGAGGTGTCCTTCCTTCCAGTGTGTTTGTACTTGTTGTTCCACTGAAATGTTGGCGGAGCGAGAGTGGAGTGTGTTTGCAGTTATTGTCACATCTGTTTTCAGCGCTTCAGCTGGTATGTTGTGTGGTCGTGATGTATTACTACTGACCTTTCCCATTTTTGGTAGGTTGAGATCGATTAGAAGGTCCGTAGATGCTGCTTCGATGTTGGGTGAGTTCAGTGAGACTGCTATATTCGAGGGTCGTTGAAAGTGCTGTAGCCAGCTGTTTGTCTGTTGTTCGTATTCGTTGGTTGGTTTGTCTTCTTTGTTCTTGCTTGATCATTCCGGTTTAATATACTTTCCAGCGACCTTCTTCGTTGAGTTGTATGGAAGTCTGTTGTTTGCTTCTGTTGCAGCTTATTGTGCTATCATTGCTAGATCTTCCGAATGTTTACGTTAGTCAGTTTTAACGCGCCGCTTCACTTGCTTGTTTTCTTCTGTGTCTCGGTTCTTTCTGCTCGTGTTCAACTGATATGGATTGCTGTATTCGTGTTCGTCCTTTCTTGAATCGTATGTAGATTTTGCACAGAGATTGATTCGTTGTGATGATGCTTATTGTGGCCCAGAATCTTGAGACGCACTGAAGTTGTTACCTCTTTGGTCCCATTCCAGTTGTTTACTATGGTGGTTTTCTCTTCATTGAGTGGATGGTGCGAGGCTTGGAACTTAATACTGAGAGCTATGTTGAATTCGTTGTTTGTCAGTAGTGTCTTGTAGAAAGGTCATATTGAGATTTTATGATGCTGTTGGCTCAGTTGTCGAGTGCTACTTTAGTTCCATTTTCATCTGGGCTACGACCAAGAGGTGATCTGAAGTTGTGCCACACGCCTTCCACGATTATTCCGAATTTCTTATTGATGCAGATGTGTTGTCCGTTTGAACCGATGTAGTTTTGTATATGCGTTTTTGTGGGAATGTGATGTCACTCATAACCATTCTGTTGAAGTCATATAGATTTAAGAATCTCTTACCGTTTTCATTGTTCTCTCCCAGTTGATGTCATCTCACAATGTCTTCGTATCTGATGTTGTCGATTGGATGCTTGGTGTTTAGGTCGTCCATCGGAATGGACAAATCGTTTGCTGATCGTTTCTCTCCAATTGACTGCAGCAACACATAGAACTGATCTTCATTTTGTTCATTGTTAGTGTTGTTTGGTGCATATCACTAGATGAAATTCATTGTAATCGCCTCTTTCTCTGTCCAGAAGGATGCCTTGATGGTTGTGGGTTCATGAGATTCCCGTCGTATGAATGGTCTTTTGGCTTATTTGGATAACATCAGTGCAACTGTTTGTGTGTGATGGGTTTTACTCTATTTCTGTTTGTTTTTGGCCGGTGTTCAAGAAAATCTGTCGTAAGCTAGTCTTTTTTGTTCAACTTGTGTCTAATATGTTTCACGTATTGTAAGCACCAGTAGATTGTATTTTTCCATTTGTGCAGCAACATGAATGGTTCTGTTAGTCTCTCACATTGTGCGAACATTCCGTGTACCTGAATTGATGGTTGTTGTGGTTGTGCGAAGAAGTATGGGCCTGGTGACTTTTGAGGGGACTAGGCTTTTATCACTTTCCGTCATAACTGTTCTGAATGAAGACGTTCCAACTTTCAGGACAGACTTTAGATGCTTTGAATTATTTTTTTTCTGTCTAGTGTTGTTTTACGAAGTTAGTTTTTTTACTTGATGGGATCACTAAAACCTTGCTCTTTGCCGTAGAAACATCTTTCTTACCTTGTGGCTTGTTAACTTTAACATATGTTGGCCTCAAGAATATCTGAAATACGTACTACAATATCGTGTAAGCAGCTAGTAAATTGAAATAATTATTCTAAAGTTTTACAGTTATAAATTGTATATATCTCATGAAATGTTGGTATTAGTTATTCTGTCAAAAATGTAACCAGCTTTTACGTGTTTGCAAGTGAAATTAAAATGTCTCAGTTGGATTAGAAATGAACTATCTGTTCATGCTGTACTTCTTAAGTGTAAATTTTCCAGTGATCAGGATTTCCGCAAACCTTTGGATGATCGAATTACAGTTATTTGAAGATTAGCCGAAGAATCTGTTTTATTCACTTTTCTTTGCATCATTTAGAGCTCGGTTGCTTACTACTGCTCTTCTGTCCGCTTGTGATATTATCGAACTTCGAATAGATTTCTGGATATCTTGCTTTATTTTCAATTTCAAAACTCAATTACTTTTCTTTTCCTTATATTTTCAAAATTTCTAAAATTTAATAATTATTTCAATTATTCATTAACTGTATTATTTATTTGGCAGGGATTTTACTCTTATTCTCTAGTCTCCTTAATCTTGAACTGGTTAAATTCATGTGTATAATGTTATCAAACGGTAATTTTATTGCGCAATGGTCGGTTTCAGTATGAAAATTGAATTTCGTAGACAGTTTGCTTTTTAAACTACTAATAGTATTGAGTCTCGTTTTTTTATATACATTTTATTGTGAAGCCTATATAACCACTTTTTATTACACATTCAGCATCAAGAACTGGTCTTAGTTAACCATTGAAGACTAGAAAACACTGGACAGCTGTTTCACTTTAATATAGAACTAATCAGCAGCGCTTATCCATGGCCCCGTCGAAGTTCGGTCCCAGAGCCTTTAGTTCTTGTGGTAGGTGCTCAACGTCTGAGACAATAACCTGGGACTCAACGATTTTGATGTCAACGATATTGGGCAACCGTCTTTCGATTTCATTAGTAGGTACAATCTTCATACCCAACATAGTTAAGTTTCACTGGTCACCATTTTTCACTAGAATTCCATGAGTTATCTTTCGAAATTATTTCCTGATGAGCACGTGATTTTTATTACTATATAGGGGTCGTGCATGTATATTGTTGGATTTCGTTATTGACATAATGGATTACATTAATTTATCGAAATTTCTGTTAACAATGCACAATCAATATGTTATATACACTTCAGTTTTTTTGCACTTGTTAGTTATCAGATGAATTAAAAGATTATGCATTGGTTTACTGCATAAATAACTATATTATAACAATGCATCGGTCAATCATTGATCTCCATCTTATATTCAATCATTGATCATGGTAGTTTAGAGAAACAGTTTGCTTGAATGCTCATTTTTATGCTTTATCAGAGATTTGTTCATATGTCTTACGTGTGTTTAGGTTTTGATAGAAGCAGCCAAAAATCTATCAATGAATGTTTTTGACAAAAAATGTATGGATGCTGCAAGTGCTATTCATCCATGTGTGCACACTGAAGGTTCTGGAATTACTATTAATGGTCCACGTTTTTCAACTCGTTTCGAGTCGTTACTTTATCAAAGTTTTGGCGTGGATATAGTCAACATGACATTAGTTCCTGAAGTTGTATTGGCTCGTGAATTAGGCCTAAGTTATGCTTCTTTAGCAATTGTTACGGATTACGATTGTTGGAAAACAGACCAAGAGCATGTAAGAAAATTATATTTATAAAGCTACTTTTTCATAGTATTTTATTAATACCCATATAAAAATATTCAATAATTTTTCTATATACGTTAATTGGTTATTGTACTCGTCTTTAATTTTGGATATGATTCATACATTTCTAAATATTATACTTTTAGGCAGTCGAAAACTAGGATGTAATCGTTAGTAATGATTATTTAATATCCTGGGATACATGAATTTATACCAGTCCCGTAATTATACAAGAACATATCTATTAATTGCTTTTCAAGAACAGTCACTTTGTAATTAAAGCATTCAGTTTTCTCAATCAGTTGGTCATTGATTCGGAACCCCACACTACTCCTTTCCACAAAATAGTGTGTATGTAAACTTTTACTTCAATCTGTAGTGTAGCTTAATTTTTAATAGAAATATCAATGATATGATAACCTTATCCTCGTCTGAATTTTCAGAAGTAGACCTTTTACCAGGTGGCTCGCTTATCGACTTAGAATATGCCGATGACATTGTCCTACTTGGTGAAGACGCTGACAAAATGCAGAGTATTCTGACTACCCTAAGCAACAATGCAAGCATGTTCGGGATGCGATTCTCCCCCTCGAAATGCAAAATGTTGCTTCAAGATTGGGTTGCATCGGCACCTGGACTAGTGATAGGGAGTGAAGTAGTCGAGCGTGCAGACCGCTTCACTTATCTCGGGAGTCTCATCAGTGCTGATGGCCTGGTGACTCACGAAATCTCAGCTCGGATACAGAAAGCTCGATTGGCTTTTGCCAACCTGCGTTACTTATGGCGAAGGCGAGATATCCGTTTACTGACTATAGGACGAGTGTACTGTGCAGTGGTTCGCTCCGTCTTACTTTATGGCTGTGAATCATGGCCAATGAGAGTAGAAGATATTCGTAGGTTACTGGTTTTCGATCATAGGTGTCTTCGAAGCATTGCTCGTATATCATGGGACACCCGAGTGAGCAACGCTGTTATTAGGACACGGGTGCTAGGTAAGAATGGCAGATCAATAGACGAAGTAATGAAACTTCATCAGTTGAGGTGGTTGGGACATGTGTTGCGTACGCCGAACCACCGACTGCCTCGTCGAGCTTTGTTTTGTAGTGTAGGAGTAGGTTGTAAGAAAGTTAGGGGCGGCCAGACCAAGACATGGCAGAAATCCATGAAGTCATTGACGAGTGGACTTAGCCATGTAGGTAATTGTCGACTACCTAGTTGGGGTCCGCGAGATGATAATAATCGATGGTTAGAGACTTTGAATGACATGGCTCAAAATCGTTCGCAATGATACCGGTGCATTTATTCTTTGTGTTCTCTCAAATCCTAATCATCTGGATTCTTCAACACTTCTAGTTTTGACTTTCTAAACTTTTCTCACTGCATCATACTTCTTGAATAATATGTTCTAATCCTAACCTCTCTGATTACTTCTAATACCTTTACTACCTCTTCTACTATTGAATTTGATTTGACATTTGCGTCTCTGTGCTGATGTGGTATGGCGACATGAACTGATGTACTTACGTACGAAGTTCTACGTTGCATCTGACTGACTGATATGATTAGCTAGTTTCTTTTTAACTGAAATTATTACCATTTATTTTTCCTATTAAGGTGATAAATGCTTCAAGGATAGAATTAGATTATAACCGTAGGAATGTTAACTGAGTTTGTTATGATAATACCGTTGATTCACTTCATGTTACTGATCACTCAAATACTCAATTGGTGTTTTCTGCTAGACCGTATTTACCATATTACACTGCATTAATGACACTTTAAAAACTAAGCAACGAAATAATAACTGAGAATATGATTATTGGATACATTGTTAAATAATGAATAATTAGGCAAGTTTGAAAAAGAAATCTACACAACAACCAACCATTACACGTTCAATAATGGATAAACTTCACTTCTGACTGTTATAAATCTCCTCTAAGACCATCTGAAGACCACTCTCACTGGATATGAGACGTAAATCATTTGTACATTTACGTAATTAAGAATGTTACTTCACTACATACTTCGTTCTCATTATCTAGTCATCAAATTGTATAGTTTCGAAATAATTAGATTTATAAATCCATTTAACTTTATCTTTGGTCTATTCCATTTTTAACAGGTCTGTGTTGATATGGTTTTGGAACAGTTTAATAAAAGTGTTGATCGAGTTAAATCACTCTTACTGGAAGCTGTGAAACTGATTGGCAGTCGTGATTGGACAGAGACTATTGAAGCAAATAAGGTACATTTGGTTTTTCGTGCATGTTTGTCTTTGGGTCCATTGCTTGATTGTATTAATGATGAGACTTCAGTTTATATCACAATCTTAAACAATTCATCTGGTGTTTTCTGTATGTAAATAATTGTATGTTTTGAACCATTCAATATTACTGCATAAAATTACAATAAATATCATCCATCAAACCAACACATAGAAATCAATGCTCACGATCGTTTCACCAATTAATACTGTTAGGAATTGTATGACACTGAAATCATTTTCAGCATTTATCAATTCATTTCACTTCATGACTCATTTAATTTATAATTTGTCCTCTCATTAAATCTTTTTGTTTAAAAGTTTTACTCTGTGTATTTCATTTTATAGGCACTAGTTGCAAGTTCACGTCAAGATCATGCCCATCGAGAAAGTCAATCCAAATAAATATATGGCTAATGAGAATTTCTTCTCTGTCTATGTGTATCCGTATACTTGAGTAAAATATCATTTAATTCACAATTAGCTTACAAGTGAAAAATTTAATGAATGTTTTTCTTTTGTTCCATATTCATCTCATTTTCTGTTGTACTTTTCTGGTGAATGTATTTAATCACCAAAAAGCCAAAGATTGAATATTTTACACTCTTAATTGTTTGTTACGTTAGATTCTAATCATGTTTACTTAGTAATAAAACTTGAAGAAAAAAAATGCTAAAATTAGTAAACATTTTTATTCTTTTAAAAACTCGTGTCAGTGAAAATAGTTATACGATGATCTCCTCCAATCAGTCACCAAGTTATCTGGAAACTGTTCGATCACTTAGGTTTATCAGAGATATACACGTAGTGTCAGTCAGTCAGTCAGATGCAACGTAGAACTTGGTACGTAAGTACATCAGTTCATGTCGCCATACCACATCAGCACAGAGACGCAAATGTCAAATCAAATTCAATAGTAGTAGAGGTAGTAAGGGAATTAGAAGTAATCGGAGACGCTAGGGTTAGAAGATATTATTCAAGAAGTATGATACAGTGAGAAAAGTTCAGAAAGTCAAAACTAGAAGTGTTGAAGAATCCAAAAGATTAGGATTTGAGAGAACACAAAGAATAAATGCACCGGCGCCATTGCGAACGATTTTGAGCCATGTCATTCAAGGTTTCTAACCATCGATTATTATCATCTCGCGGACCCCAACCAGTTAGTCGACAATTACCGACATGGCTAAGTCCACTCGTCAATGATTTCATGGATTTCTGCCATGTTTTGATTTGGCCAGCCCTAACTTTCTTCCAACCTACTCCTACACTACAAAACAAGTCTCGTCGAGGCAGTCGGTGGTTGGGCATATGCAAGACATGTCCCAACCACCTCAACTGATGAAGTTTCATTACTTCGTCTATTGATCTGCCATCCTTACCTAGTACTCGTTTCCTAACGACAGCATTGCTTACTCGGGTGTCCCAGGAGATACGAGCAATGCTTCGAAGACACCTATGATCGAAAACCAGTAACCTACGAATATCTTCTACTCTCACTGGCCATGTTTCACAGCCATAAAGTAAGACGGAGCGAACCACTGCACAGTACACTCGTCCTATAGTCAGTAAACGGATATCTCGCCTTCGCCATAAGTAACGCAGGTTGGCAAAAGCCAATCGAGCTCTCTGTATCCGAGCTGAGATTTCGTGAGTCACCAGGCCATCAGCACTGATGAGACTCCCGAGATAAGTGAAGCGGTCTACACGCTAGACTACTTCACTCCCTATCACTAGTCCAGGTGCCGATGAAACCCAATCTTGAAGCAACATTTTGCATTTCGAGGGGGGAGAATCGCATCCCGAACATGCTTGCATTGTTGCTTAGGGTAGTCAGAATACTCTGCATTTTGTCAGCATCTTCACCAAGTAGGACAATGTCATCGGCATATTCTAAGTCGATAAGCGAGCCACCTGGTAAAAGGTCTACTTCTGAAAATTCAGATGAGGATAAGGTTATTTCTAGGAGCATTTCTATGATGGAGAAAGTGGACATCCCTGAAGGACACCACTTGATGTAGAGAATCCCGGTGACAGTTCGCCATAAGCCCTCACTCGACCAATGGTGTTCGAGTAAAGGGCTTGTATAAGGTTAATGTACTTCTTTGGTACACCTTTCGATGACAGACATTGCCACAGAACCTCACGATCCACTGAGTCAAATGCCGCCTTATGGTCCAGGAAAACAACTATTGTAGGACGCCCAAATGTTTGTCTGTGTTCCAGGACCTGTCGTAGTGTGAAGATGTGGCCTATACAACCACGTCCAGGTCGAAAACCAGACTGGTTTTCTCGAGTTTGCTCTTCACGAGCTCTAGTTAAGCGTCGAAGTATTATTGAGGCCAATATTTTAGATACTATATTAGTTAGACTTATTCCCCTGTGATTGTCACAAGAAGACTTTTGTCCTTTCTTATAGATTGGGACAATCAAGGATTGAGACCAGTCGGATGGGATTTCGTCCGGTTCCCAGATTCTACCTAAGATCTCAGTCATCCTAGCTGCTAAAACTGAATCACCATCCTTAAATATCTCAGGGGTCAGTCTATCAGGACCTGCAGCTCGCCCTCGCTTCAGATTTCCTAACGCTTTCCCAACGTCATTAAGACTAGGCGGACTTAGGTCGATTTGCTATTCAGGATGACTGGAGATCGTGGGTAACCGAAGAGTGGCTCGTGGCCAGTTGAACTGATCCCTAAAGTGTTCTGCCCATCGATCCAGTCTCCTGGATTGAGAATGAATAATAAGACCATCCCTTTCCGAGATAGTCTCACTCACATTCGGGTTCTTAACACCAGTTTCTTTAATAAGGCGGAAAAGTTGTCTACTGTTGCCGGTCGCCGCTGCCTTTTCATTGCTTTTGCTTTCGCCACCCACCACTGTTTGCGGTCGTTACGCAGACTTTTTATAAGTCTGTGCCTAAGCTGACTACGCTCTTCATCATGCTCAGAGTCAGGTGGGATGCGTTTTCGAGCATCCATCAGTTTGGTGGATGCGACTGATATCCACGGCTTCATTCTAGCCTTATGGTCAACCTTACTAGCAGATATCACTGCTGTTTCCACAGCCTTCTTGATATCATACCAACCTGCTTCTGGATGGGAATCGCTTACATGGTTGCTTAACTCTGTTTCTAGTTGCTCCTGAAATATTTTCTTAGTTTGATTATCATCAAGTAAAGCCCTAAGAGGCTTCCTTACGGTGTCTTTCCTACGTCCAGTAAGCCTCAAACAGATACGAGCTCGCACTAGAGCATGATCTGAATCCAAACATGTGCCCCAGAACGAGCGTCAGTCTTCTATCGAACCCCTCCATCGGTGGCTGATGGCGATGTGATCTAGTTGAGTCCAACGTTGAGACGACTTCGGGGGTCTCCAGGTCAGCAGATGCTTTTCCTTATGCCTAAAGTTGGTGTTCGCTTAGAATAGGCGGTTATCTGAGCACAGTTGCAACAGTCGGTCGCCATTGTCTGTTCTCTCAGTCGCTACACCATAACATCCACCTAGATGTCTTTCCATTTCACCTAGTCAACCTACTTGAGCATTAAAGTCACCAGCCATTATTACTATATCAGAGCGCCTAGCTTTTTGGAGGAGGTCCGAAAGCTTTCTGTCAAACTCATCTTTAACCTCGTCTGCACTGCAGTCAGTGGGGGCATAGGCAGATATGACGAAGAGGCAACGGCGAGTGTCCCTATCCTTACGAGTCCTTACTGTCCCATTTAGTCGGACAGCGCACAAACGACTATATACTGGGATCCAGTCAAGGAGAGATAATTCTGCCCTAGGACTCAACGCTATGCCTACGCCAGCAAGACCCCTGGAAGCAGCATCAGGGTTACCGGATACACGAAGAGTGAATCGGGCTACTTCTTCATTTTGACAAGGTGAAATCAGGTTAATGACTTTACTAGGATCCTGTATGCGCGTTTCCGAGACGCAGCTTACATCGATGGCACGAGTTTCTAAAGTCCTAGCTAATGATGCCTGTTGCCCTATTTGACACAATGTCCGTAAATTAAAAGCTCCAACATGTAGTCTAGAACGGGGTTTCAAGAGACCAGGAGCGACGTTTCGTGATCTCACTTCGTCTGCATTAGCTGTGCACTGTAATAAATGAATGTGAGAAGAGTTAGTTGTGGAGATAAGAGAGGTATTAGGGAATGTAGGGAGGATTTAATTTTGAACAATTTTGTCTCGTGTGCTGTTACGGGTATGAGGGCGGTTGTCACTTCCCGGCTGCCCACACCTTGGAAAGTTGTTTCTTGAGGGACCTGAAAAAGAAGATGGATTAGTGTTGGTGCGTGACCACAGAGCCCAAGGGACAAATGCTTGAGGCCGGTCACGCACGGCCTTTTTATGAAAGGTATTTAGAGGATTAGCTCCGTTCTTAAAGGCCCTTAGTGGGCACCCTTATCCAAGGAGACGGAAATCCGTGAGTTAGGGGAGGTGTGACATTTTTAGGGTCGACCTTTTCGAACCCTTCCTTCCTTGTGAGAAGGCAGCATCGCTGTAGATGCTGGTTGTCCGAGGGAAACACCTTAATGCTGTCACACCCCTCTGCAGTCAACAGTACGACTTCGCCCTCAGACCTTGGGTAGCTGCTTTTAGTGTCATCGTCCTCCAGTCGACCTGCCTGGCATGGTAGGACCTGCAGGAACATATGTTCCAGCCAGTACAGCCCGTTTTGGTCATCACGATAGGCAAGCCCGACCACCACGTCAAGGTAGCAGCTACGGTCGGGATGCACGTAGTGTAGTACTTAACCGCTTTATTACGATTGATTGTTACCCGTATCATCTGAAACTTCCAAACATTAATTAAAATTATTTTTTCTGACTCAATCAAGAAGAACGCACCTCCTCAAACAGCTTAGATCAGTAATTCCCAACTATGTAAAGTGATGGTTTACTTACTTACTTACGCCTGTAACCCCCAATGGAGCATAGGCCGCCCACCAGTTTTCTCCAACCAACTCTGTCCTGGGCTTCCCTATCCAGTTCTGTCCAATGTTTGTTCACTCCTCTCATATCTTTCTCTATTTCTCGGCGTAGTGTGTTCCTTGGCCTTCCTCTTTTCCTTTTGCCTTGAGGGTTCCATGTGAGGGCTTGTCTCGTGACGCAGTTAGGTGCTTTTCGTAGTGTGTGTCCTATCCACTTCCACCGCTTCTTCCTGATTTCCTCCTCCACTGGAATCTGGTTTGTTCTCTCCCACAGTTCGTTGTTGCTGATGGTGTCTGGCCAACGAATCCGAAGTATTTTGCGTAGACAACTGTTCATAAACACTTGTATCTTCTGCATGATAAATTTCGTAGTTCTCCAAGTTTCCGCTCCATACAGTAGAACTGTCTTCACATTTGTATTGAAAATGCTGATTTTGGTTTTGGTTGAAAGTTGTTTGGAGTTCCAGATAATTTTCAACTGTAGAAATGCAGCCCTTGCTTTGCCAATCCGTGCCCTCACATCTGCATCGGACCCACCTTGGTTGTCGATGATTCTGCCAAGATATGTAAAGGTGTTAACGTCCTCCAAGGCATCTCCATCAACAGTGATTTGGTTGGTGCATGTTGTGTTGCATCGGAGAATTGTGCTTTTCCCTTTATGTATGTTGAGACCTACTGCTACAGAGGCTGTTGCTACACTGATCGTCTTCTCTTGCATTTGTTGTTGAGTGTGCGAT